ATTGGCATTGTGAGCTCTCCTATGCTCGTTAGCTGGTTTGGCTTCCGGGTGAATTATCATTGTACTCTTTTGTAAAAGATCAAGATTGGCAATCTGCGCAAAATCTTTCACATAAGGGCTTCGATTACAAAGCATTCTCAAAAAGGAAACCCAACGTTTGAAGTACATTTCACCAGGAGCCACATGAGCAATTTTTTCATCTCACTGTGATTGCAAGTTGACAAACTGGAATGCATTTTTAGAACGTCGTCTTCCGGTTCATGCGTCGTTTTTCCACGTCATTTTCCGGATCTTGCACAAAGTACTGGATAAACACCATTGGTTTGTTACCTGTATCCCATCAAACAATGCCATTCCCTAAAAAGTCAAATGAACACATACGATCAAAAATTAGAAATTCGTCAATTTGTTACGAAGATTACCAACTTTTATTTTGACAGTCTGTTGATACGAGTTGGTTGCACTAATTTCATTTTTGCTATTTTGACAGAAGCAATTGAAAGAGCTTTGTTAATTGGTCTAGCATATATCCGAAACACAATCCTTTTAGCGCTCGTATTATTTACAAGAGACTTGATGAGGAAATGCCGCAGTTGAGGCCAGTCTGTTATTCCAATTTTTCCGTTATAGCTGAATTTATTACTGGATTCATCAAAAAATGTCTCTGCTCGACAAAAAAGGACCCAACTGACTTATTTCGTATCTGAAGCTCTCTAATGAGCGGCATTGTCTTGAATAACTGATCAACACTTTGCGCCCACCCATATTTCTTTTAGTTTTCGTAACCCACAACGATGAAGCCGGTGCATCGCATCATCGGGTAATACTTGATTATCTATTATCTAACCAAAACGTCCAAGTTGAAATCTTGCAGATGAAAATTTTCAAAAACTGGAAATTTCCAGATGAACCTCTGTTATATTCAAAGGCAACGGGATGAGTTTTGCTTTCAATATACAATAAACTATCTTCATTGGGGGGTTACTGTTTCTGGTATTTGGGACCGACTTGCTTGGACTGCAAGTTGGTATGAATCAATTACACTTTCTAGAACATCTCTTACGCCAGCGTTTGTCAGAGTTGTAAATTGATCAGTGTCGATTGCGTTGTTCTCTAATCAGAACAGCTAATTAACAAACGTTTGTAAATTTAATTTGCTTAGGCGGAAAAATATCACTTCTTTGTAGACAACGACGAAACTAACAGTTTGCATTCAAAGTAAGGTTACTTTGGAATTTTTTCAAAACGTTTCATTGTTTGAAAGATTTCGTTTTCTATCTAAAACCTTGTCTGCTCGTAAAATTTCAAGCAAGTTCTATCAGTTTGTTTTTGACTTAAACTAAACAGCTCTAATTGTAATCGTTGCGGTGTGATCGGGGTTCCCAGTGTCTTGTAATTGGGATCGATTTGCTTGAACTGTAATTTGGTATGAATCAACTCCACTTTGCACAACATCTCCTACACCAGCCAATGGCTGAGTTATAAATTGCGCACTGTCGATTCCGTTGTTGTCTATTCAAAATAGCTTTCATTAAAAATTAGCGTACAGATTTTTCGAAGTCTTGTATATATTTGCCTCAGCGGTAACTACTATTTCTTTCTGGATGACAAAGACTGACATTTTGCCCAAAATTGAAAGGTTTCCTTGAAAGCAATTCAGAAGTTTTTCCTCGTTTAAAAGCTCTCGAACTTAAGATGAAGTTTTTCCTTTTTGTTTTTCTATCAGACCTATCTGCTTCTTGAGCCTAACTTCCTTCTAAAAGTTGCCATTTTTTACGCTCCAATTTCTTTTCAGCTTTTGAAAATTGACTCACCATCACTGTTCATAATCGTTGCAGTCTGATTCAAATGCTGAACTGAATCACCCTCGTTGTACTCAAAAGCAAGGGTTTGATTGTTTCCACCAATAGCCAAATTACCATATTAATCGGGCGTCTCGTTGTCAAGTAATTGGGAGCAGTTTGATTGAGGAGCAAGTTGATAGAAATCTGTGCATTTGCTTTCCATCAACTTGCGCCTCAATCAAACGACAACATCTCTTATACGAGTCACTGACAGCGTTGTTAACTGAATAGTGTCGGTCGCACTGTAATGTAATCGAAACATTTGTTTCGAAAATTAAGCATTGAAGTGTTTCGGGTTCCTTATCGGTTTATGAATTCGTGTTCATATAATCATGCTGCATTTTTGAGAAGATACTTACCGTTTGCACAAACCCTTCCACACAAAGGTTTACTTAACAAAACCTCAAATACTTATCTGGAGTGAAAAAAAAATTTGGTCCTTACTATGAGTATTGTCGAGTATACGACTTTCCTCTTGAGTTCCTTCTGCTTCTAAAAAAAGCAACTTTTAACTCTGCTCGTATTTTCGGAAAATTATTTTAAAACTTAACATACCATCATAAAGGGCAGTCGGATTCAAAAGCGCTCTTCATGATAATTAAGAACCATATAATAATCTGCAACAGAGCTGGTTTCAGCTCCAATTGCTTCCTGATTTAGAACCTCTGCTTGGATTCTGCCTACAATGGTTTCTTGATTTAGCGGGACAGTTTCACCTAATCTCAACTTTTTAACAAAACATCGATTGTTTCTTCTTCATTTCTATGATCAAGCTTACTGACTGAAATAATGTTACAGCCTCGCCGGGAGAAGCTTAACGATAAGTTTTTTGTAATAGTTTTCGCTTCCAATGATCTAACTGCTTATTATGAATAATTTTTCAATTGAATAAATTAGCAAAGAGACGAAAAAAACACCACCTCTTACGGCAAAAAAATAGAGCCATTGGCAAAGAAACGACTTTCACCTTCTTTGCTGTAGCCTCTGCTTAGGTTCCGCCTATTTTAGGTTTTTATTTAATTGGACAGTTTTATCAAAAAACTGATAAACAAAGCCTTTAAGGCTACTTCCTAATTTTTCTATATCAATTACATTTTTCAGAATTTTAAGGTGAGCCAAAATTTGTTTGCAACACGTGAGAAGGTGTTGCATAAACACTAAAGTAATCTGAAGTCTTGCCTCTGAACAATTACAGACACCTTTAGTCGTAGCAGCACAGTTCAAGTCAACTAAAATCTCATCATTCAAGGAATCTTAAACGAAATATTTTTGACCTATAAACGTTCGAAAACATTGAAGACATAAACCAACATTTGCGGTCTCGATTTAAATCATCATTTTAATCACTTTGATCAGTTTGTTCTAAACTCAGAATGATGTGTTGAGCCTTTGAATTAGTGTTGACCATTTGAACTTTTGATCAAGTTTTGACTGTTTTATGAGATTTATACAACTTGCCTGATTTCATTTTGATGAAATTATTTACTTCACGAGCTACCCACTAACTATAGGTTTTCTGAACCATAAGCAGTAAACAATTTGACTCTAATCCTAAAAATAGTAAGCAACTAAAAAATTTGTATCTTCAATAGCGGCATTGAAATGTTGTTGACAGCTTTTCGTCAAACTTTGGAGAATTTGAATGAAATTCAGATGAGATGCTTTTGCGACAAGGGGAACTTTTTGTCAAATCTAAGGAAAAACAAAGTATAGAAAACTGAAGTAAAAACATTAAGTTGACTTTAAATTGGTCGACCTACCTCTTTCTCGCTTAATCGTTTTGCGCGTCGAAAAAATATAGAACATTTTCTTCTCATAACAGCATTTTCTTTCTTGGTTCGGTTTTAAATTTCATGGAATCATCAGATTCTATTGTTTAAATTGGCCTCCAGTTCAACTTTATCCAGTAGCTCTGATTGGGCTCTTGAAAATACTTCAGCTAGTTCTGTAGATAGAGGCATTTATCTGAAAAATATCCGGTTGGTGCAGAGTTTCTAAAAAAACATCGGTTTGGTGCAGATTATCTCAGAGCTGGAAAACTCTATCTAACCGGTGTTGAGAAACATTCGGTCGAGAATATTTCCAAGCCATTTACAAGTCATAAGTCCATCATTGTTGGGTAATTGTGCGGTGAGACCTCAAAGTACTATCAATTACTCCATTAGATTAAAAAATTCAATTTTGCTTTAAATTGATTCGGCTTAACTCTGAATTAAAAAACATAAGAACATTCTTAATTGAAAAAAAAGTTCGGTTAAAATCTCTGAGTTGGTTTGCGAAATAAGCGCTATCAAGTCAACCATCGAGCAAGTTTAAGGAAAAATAAGTTTCTCAAGAGTAAGGAGTAGTCCGCAAATCGTCACTTGACTTAGAAGATTCGTCTCTTCTCGTTTCAATGTCTGAGTTGTAAATTGCGCCTTGTCGATTCCGTTGTTGTCTATTCAAAATTGCTTTCATTAAAAATTAGCGTACAGATTTTTCGAAGTCTTGTATATTTTTGCCTCAGCGGTAACTACTATTTCTTTCTGGATGACAGACTGATATTTTGCCCAAAATTGAAAATCTCCTTGAAAGCAATTCGGAAGTTTTTTTCGCGTTTAAAAGCTCTCGAACTTAGGATGAATTTTTTTTGTTTTTCTATCAGACCTATCTGCTTCTTGAGCCTAACTTCCTTCTAAAAGTTGCCATTTTTTACGCTCGAATTTCTTTTCAGCTTTTGAAAATTGACTAACGATCACTGTTCATAATTGCTGCAGTCTGATTCAAATGCTGAACTGAATCACCCTCGTTGTACTCAAAAGCAGGGGATTGAATGTTTCTACCAATAGCCAAATTAACATATTAATCGGGCGTCCCGTTTCAAGTAATTGGGAGCGGTTTGATTGAGGAGCAAGTTGATAGAAATCTGTTCATTTGGTTTCCATCAATCAATCGCGCCTCAATCAAAGAACAACATCTCTTATACAAGTCACTGACAGCGTTGTTAACTGAATAGTGTCGGTCGCACTGTAATGTAATCGAAACATTTGTTTCGAAAATTAAGCATTGTGAAGTGTTTCAGGTTTCTTATCGGTTTATGATTTCGTGTTCATATAATCATGCTGCATTTTTGAGAAGATACTTACAGTTTGCACAGACCCTTCCAAACAATGGTTTACTTATTAAATTCTCGAATACTTATCTCGAGTGATAAAAATTTGGTCCTTACTTTGAGTATTGTCGAGTATATGACCTTCCTCTTGAGTCCCTTCTGCTTCTAAAAACGCAACTTTTAACGCTGCTCGGATTTTAGGAAAATTATTATAAAACTTAAGATACCATTGACATTTGCCGAGATTTAAAGGACAAAACTAGATTGTTCGTAATAGTGAATTGATAGATTAGTTGCTTAGATTCTTTGTTACTTTAGATTTAGTTAGTCAGGTTCTGACTAAGAGAAACAAATTAAATAAAGGTTGAATAAAGTTTACATCTAGCAAGCGATGTATCAGAACATAAGAGTGATCACACACAGTGTGTCGCTCGATAAGGCCAAACCAGTGACCTTGAGCAGACTGGTATATAAATCTGCAGCATGGCTGCAAAAGACAATAAATCAAATGAGGTACTAAATGTCGCCTCATCACATTCCCCGCGGAAGGTAAAATTTCTTGGAGAATCCAAAAAATTTTTCAATAAATAAATAAATAAATAGACTGCACCCCTAAGCATTATTTTTTAGATAGCACCCCTATCCCGTAAAAATGCATGGTGATAAAAATAATGTTTACATAACGAAGTTTTGTTAAAAGTTTGAAAGTAAGTTTTAGCGACATTCATTTTCCGTCCTGAGCTTTATCCAGCGATGATGAGAATGGCGCCTCCGGAGAAGTTAAGTGTGAACGGTCCCGAATGAGAGGTCGCCATTTAGATGACTGTGAGGAAGGTAGAACACTTTTGGAGGGTAATATGTCAGCTTCTTTTTCCAGCGATTTGTCTTCTTCCACCGATTTAACAGAGTGTCGTAATGGGTCGCCGAAGAATTTTGTGGCCTTTTTGCTACGAGATGAGGTCCGAGTGCCTTCCGAATCATCCGTAGCCGGTTGAGCTGGGAGAGAAAGAGATGGGAGCGACGAATATGGGTCTGCTTGAGCACTTTTGTCTGGAAGAACTGGACCCTCGGAGTCGACCACGTCAAGTGGTAGCTGATGCAGACCAGCAACCAAAGTTGTAGGGTCAACAGGCTGAGTGATGGGCGGTAGAGAGACACAAGTATCCATTGGAGACTGGCCCGGTGTGAGGGATGAGTTGCCAAACGTGACAGGCGGTGATTCGTCATGTAACCGTAATCGCTTTTCCATTGGAGTAGATATCCGAATTTCATGCGAAGCGTGCTGGTCGGGAGGACTCTCACTAGACGAATCAACAGTAAGATCCACCACCGCCGGCTGTGACACGCTCGTGTTAGCTGGCCGTTTTTCAAGCAACGTCGGATGAGATGCGCGAGTAACTGGTTTCTTTCCCCCACTTTTCGAAGATGTTCCAGAAGTTTGGAGACGATCACCTAGTGTGCTGTGTGTTGCTGAAAAGTTATTATTGAAGTTAGGCTTAAGGCAGACATGATTTTTTCGATAAACTTTTCCCTTGTCAGTAACATAGGTGTGATCGGTGATGCGAGTAATTTTGAATTTCGCAAGCTTAAAAAGAGGAAAGAGGTTTGCCAGACTGACGATCTATAATTTTTCTAAACACTCTCACGCGGTTAGGATCGGATAAAAGGAGAGTTTCTAGTTTACTTGTTTTGGACTGCCGACGGTGTTGAAGTGTCGGTAAACGGCGAACAGTATCCTGGGCCCCTGGAGGCGTAGTAGCTGACCGGTCTTCCGCAAAGCAGAGTGTTTTGCGAGAAAGGCCTGTTTTTAATGACTGGGCCAAATCCGAATGGCGACTCGACAGCTCCTGTAGAACCCGCTTTCCCCCATCTGGCGGAAGGTTTCTCTTATGCTGTGTCCAATTATTAGCCGCCCGAGCAAGATCAGCTAGCGCTTTGTACGGCTCACTCTCCGCAATGTTTCCCTCTAGTGAGAACATTGGGTTGAAGCGCGGAGCAATCTGAGGACTGAGACTGCCTCTGGGCACCACCTTGACACGATCTCGACTATAGTCCTGACTGGCAATTTGATCCGGCGTTAAGAGGTTGCGTTCAAGTCTCTGTGCTGAAGTATCAGAATTAACTATATTATGAAAAGCTTGTGACCATTCAGTATTGGGCTTACGTCCGAAGTGCATTTCAAAAGGTGACTTCTTAAGTGTAGAATGATTATTTTTACGAATATCTTCTATTATTCGATGGAGTACTTCTTTAAAATTACCGAAATTAGGATCCAGTTGTTCAGTGCCTAACTTGCGTTTTATAGTCTGTATCGTACGTTCGACGAGACCAGAGCCTCGATGGTCTCCGACTGGAGAAAGGATATGTTTAATACCTTTACTAGAACAGAATTGTTGTACTGTCGTTTTTAAACCCGGAGCCGTGATCAGTCCTGATAGAATGAGGTAAACCATGAATTCGGATATAAGATTCAAGAAATTTCGTAACCTTTTCAGCCCCAGTGGTTTTTGTAATAAGTACGGAAGGAAATTTCGAGAAGCGATCGATAGCTACTAAGAGGAATATTTTCACACCTTTGTCATCCAAAATAGGACCAGCAAAATCTAACTGCAACTCCTGATTTGGCCCCGTCAACTGGGGCAAAGATTGAGCGGTATGAAAAGTTTTAACGGGCTTTAGGTTCTTACCATACAATGTGCACTCGCGGCACTTCTCGCAGGTGTCGACTATCTGCCGGTTCAAGAACGGCCACCAAATGTACTCTGAGGCTGACATCATGGCCTCTTGGCCCGGATGCGACCGATGAAGGCGGGCAAGGACAGCTGGCCTCAAAACTTCTGGAATGGCCAGTTTGTTGTCAACTATCACACAGTTGTTGACAACCGCTGCCTTAGGCCAAAATTGGGCCATGTAGGCTCCGAGTTTATTAAAACTGGAAACGTCCTTGCTATCAATAGCCCGTTTCATCGGGCCCAGAAATCGGTCTTCCTCCGTGAGCTCGGCTAAAAGATCAGCGTCGAATAATCCTGGTAGTCCCACAATTTCTTTCTTGGACTTTGAGATGATAGGTTTTCCACCATTGATTGCATACACGCCAACTTTACCAGCAGTGTGGATTCTCCCCGGTCTTGATAATCGGCACTTCCTCATAGCCTCCAAAAGCTGGTTGTGTCCCTCCCTTCTAGAGGCAGTCCTGGCAGCAACAAATCGGGTCTTCGCCGCACGCTCTCTGGTCCGATTACGTTGGCGCACCTGATCCAGGCGAGAGATTCGTCCTACTTGACGAGATCTTACTGAAGGGCGCGGGCTCGGCCGTCGAAAATAAGGGGAACTCAAGGTGAAATTTTCCACAAAAGAGAGGAGTTCTGCTTGTTCCTCCATTGAGCTGTGTGATGGGTGTGATTCAGTAAGGTGAGCTGGTTGAGTTGGTGGTTTGTCGTTAGTATGTTGAAGAGCGGAATGTGGTAGTGCAGTAGGATTAGATGGATTCATGTTGTAGTTAATAGATGAGTGAAGTGAAAGAGATTTTGTTGAGTGAAATAAAGATGAGAAGGAAGAGTTGCAACTATCTTTTAACAATTCAGGTCGGAGACAATGATTCAAGGCGAGCGAATTTGGTTTACGATTATTAATTAGCATACCGGTTTCTGATTGGTCAACTCTGAAACAACATGACTCGACGCCCTCACTCGGTGAGAGACCGTACACGCGAATTTGCATAACGTGATTTGATTGGTCGAGAAAACAATTTGATTTCAGAGTTTGAGGCACAGCGACCTCTTGCGACGGAGAACATAATTTACTAGCCGAATCGAGTATATTGAATGTATTAATAAATGATAAGGCCGAATTGAAAGCCTCAATAGACTTCACAACAAAAAGTTCATCGTAAATTGATGGCGCTGGAGCTGAGAAGGTTGGATGGCGAGACAGATAGTCCACAATGCCTAACGTAACCCCAGGCACGTGAATAACTTCAAAGTCAAATGTTAGTAACCGGTCCGCCCAACGCGAAAGGCGCGACTGATAGGATTTGTTATTATAATTTTCGCTCAGTGCCGAAATGATGGCTTTGTGGTCGGTTAATACTTGAAAACGATTGCCCAAGCAATAAGTACGAAAATGTTCGCACGCCCAAACGATCGCCAACAACTCAAGTTCATTCGTACTATATTTTGTTTCAGCATTATTGAGAAAGCGTGAGGCAAACGCAGTTGGAGCCCAAACCCCCGGCTCGATCTCCTGTTCCAAGCATGCTCCTAACCCGTTATGACTAGCGTCACATTTTACCCGAGACTTTTTTGAAGAGTCATAATGGAATAAATTGGGAATGTTAGCCAACAGATTTATGATACTCTTGAAGGCATTATCTTGTTCCTCCCCCCACCGGAAAGACTGTTTATTACATGCCTTTAAAGATTCTCGGAAATGAACGGTATAAGTGTATAGGTCAGGTATGAATCGTTGTAAATGATTTAACGTCCCCTTAAACGAGCGGAGCTGCTTTAAAGTTTTGGGGGGTTTAAGTGATCGGATCGCATCAATCTTTGAAAATTTCGGAGAGTACCCGTGCTCATTTATAACGTAATCTAACCAAGTTAATTGGTTTACTGAGAACTCGCACTTACTGAATTTCAATGCCCAGCCTTCTGCATCGAGTCGCTGCATCACTCTCTCGACCAAATTATTATGTTCTTGGACATCTCCCTTCGTGACTACTAGAATGTCATCCAAGTAACAAATTACACCTTCCAATCCTTGCAAGGTACAATCCATCGCCTTTTGAAACTCAGTCGGCATGTCGGTCAACCCATAGAACCCTGTCTTAAACCGATAAGTCCCCGTAGCATCTCCACACAAAATATTGAAATTACAATGACTGCTGGTAACTGACGACAATGGCAGCTGGCTGAAAGCATATTTCAAGTCTAACGAGGTGAACCAAACGGTGCCAGGTACGTCTTTAGTGATTATTTGGGCCACCGAATCAATAAGTTCGTGAATATTTGGCATCTGGTATTTATTCTTCCAGATTTGCGCATTCATCGGTTTAGCATTTAAGGCGAGTTTTATCGA